TTCCGGCCCCCTCCCCCAAAATGAAAGAAATCATGTTAATACGGTCTGGGGAGTCTGATTGAACTATTGAAACCAAAACCCTTCCTAACCCACGATACTGCCGGTCATTTACCTTTTCAATAAACTCAGTCCTATAACCTAACCATTTTTGTCCTGTGTTTTTCACACTGCACAATTATCAATTTCCAACTGCACATTCCCCCCCCCCACGAGATGCACATTTGGTCTCTAACTGCATGTTAAAAATAAATTAATAATTAAAAAAATAAGCTGCTAGGGAGAAACCGGCCACAGGACATTTGCACTTCCTGATCTCTCTCTCCTGCTTCTGGAGAACGTACAGTATGTTCATCCTTTGGTTTTAATTCACACTTTGTGGCCCTCCTCCATGGCTGTCAATCTTATTGACAGACAGATGCTCCTCTCAATGGGTGGGACTATTTCAGACTTACTTGGAAACAAGCATTTGGAAAAGGCTCATGCCAAGCGGTCAGGGGTCTGTTTCGACAGCCTCTACCCCGGCTCTAAATGGTCTTTCCTGGGATAAAACTACCCCTGGCTGGTGCCCGTATCTGAGTTCTATATGTATACAGTATAGGTTTCTACTGGTGTTTTACCATCCTCGTGGCAGCCTTAGAATTGTGCAAACAAATACTCAGTTCTCACGTAGCTGTTAAGAAAAAAAAAGACAGAATGGGACAGAACGGTCATTCCTCGCCTCTCTCTCTCTCTCTCTCTCTCTCTCTCTCTCACACACACACACACACACACACACACACAGACGGCCCCCAATTTAAATCTGTGCTCATAGAAATCCAGCAGGTGAAAGAGACGGAGTTTGCAGAATTCTCCCAACACATGGTAGGCTTCAGTCACGTTAAGGCTACCCAGCACGACTCCCCAGTGATGGTCGTCGGGGGGGGGGGGACACAAGGGCCTCCCCACCAGGCAAGGTGGGAGGGCTGTGAGATGACAAGGCAATCCGGAATGGGGAAGTCCCCCGTCAAAGCAAGGTTTATGCCCTCCGCTCGGCTTAGCCAACCCTTCCACACACACATACACCCTTGTGTTCCCTCTTGGCAGCCCACGGTCATAAATCGTCCGTTTCACACGTTTCTTGTATTTCATTGCACTGTCCATTTGGTTTTTTATCTCAATGTTTGGTTTGTTGCTTTTGTGTGTTATCATTGCTACAGCATTTTTTTTGCTGCAGACCGCCATCTGCTATACTGGCCAGATGGGCGGTATAGAAGTCCAGCCCATCCATCCATCCATCCATCCATCCATCCATCCATCCATCCCTCCGTCATACCCTCGCCTCCTCCTTTCACTCAAGTGAGTGAGTAAAGCAGTGGGTCACACCGTCTTCTACATTCTGGAACTGCAGAACTCTCAAGAATGGAAGGGAACCCAAGACTCATCTTGTCCAGCGCCATGCCAGTGTAAGAAACCTATGGTGGAGCACCCCTGACCCTAATGCTAATCACCTGCCATCCTTCTTCCCAAAGAAACACAGGACATTATAAAAATTACATTATTCCATGATTTATGCCATACCCTTTATTTCTCCAGGCTTTGCAAAATGTTAGTCAAAAACAACTTGCCAGATTCTAAATTACCGTAGGTCCAACAAAAATTTCCTGCTACATTTTTTTCCTTGGTACTCCAGGCCCCAGGAGAAAGAATTGTTTACAGTTTGAAGGGAAAGGTAAACAAATGGGAAAAAATATGAATATACGGAGATAAGGCACATGCACAGAAATTCTAAAAGCATCATATCATCACAACAGCACATTGTGTCACAAACACTGGGTATCAATAATGAGAAAGGATTGTTTACAGTTTGAAGGGAATGGTAAACAAATGGGAAAAATATATAAATATACGGAGATAAGGCACACGCACAGAAATTCTAAAAGCATCATGTCATCTCAGCAGCACATTGTGTCAGAAACACTGGGTATCAATAACAGTCATGTAGCAATGCAGCAACAGGCTTCATTTTGACACCCAAACAACAGCAATCCATATGGATTTTCCTCCATAGATTTAATCTGGTTTGCTTGAGTGAACATTTACAATGATTTTGTGTGTGTTCATACGCTTAGAGGCTAAGAAAGTCATTTTCTTGCATATATTTTTATTCTTAAGAGACACCCAAACAACAGCAATCCATATGGATTTTCCTCCATAGATTTAATCTGGTTTGCTTGGGTGAACATTTACAATGATTTTGTTTGTGTTCATATGCTTAGAGGCTAAGAAAGTCATTTTCTTGAATATATTTTTATTCTTAAGAACCTTGGTAGTTTAAAGTTGTGCTCTATGGTGATTTCCCTCCCTCCCCCCTCAATCTGCTCTTTTAGGCTATAAGCTGTTGCATTTTTGGACTGTACCTGAAACGTTCTTATTGTTCTTTTTTACTCTTAAAATATATTCCTATTGTATTTTGGAATGAATTATGACGTAAGTATGTGCCTATAACTTATGTTCAATTCTCTTTTTTAAAAAATTATTTGTGCCTACACTTTTTTCAACAGCTGTACGAATCTTGGATGTTTGCAATATTTGAAGTATTTTTGTGCTAATGGAACATAAAGCAATGTAGATAAATAAAGCTTGTAGAATTTGATAAACTGGTGTTCCTTGGAAACACTGCAACAATAAAAAGACCTATGTGTTGATACTGATTCATTTTGATACGACTGGGGAAAAAACAATATTTGAAGTATTTTTGTGCTAATGGAACATAAAGCAATGTAGATAAATAAAGCTTGTAGAATTTGATAAACTGGTGTTGCTTGGTCTATAAAGTTCTGTAGGACTCTTAGGAAAAGGTTCCCGGTATTAGAATCCCTGACCAAACAAGAGGTGACCGGAACTTTGGAATTGCTGAAGCTTCCTGCCTTGTTCCTTGGCTCACATTAGGGAAACAGCTCAGGAATGCTGTGTTTTCCTAGTGCCATACTTACTGGCTAGGGGGATTCTGGGAGCTGTAGTCCAGGGAAAGTAGGATTCCCGAGCTTGGGAAGGGAGTAAAAGAGGTAACCATGAGTCACAGTCTGGCTTGCTAAGTTAGGGTTTGGTTTTGCATTACGTTTCCTGCGGCAAACGCCATGAGATCCCAGTCATTTTGTAAAGCACGGAATAGTTCTAAACAAACAAATAAATAAGTAGAAAGCAGGACACAATGTCCTCGTTGTTTACTACGCTGTTTCCCCTAAAAATAAAACCTAGCCTGAAAATAAGCCCTAGTGTGATTTTTCAGGATGCTCGTAATATAAGCCCTACCCCAAAAATAAGTCCTCCACTAAGTGAAACCTCGTCCTCCACTCTTGTGCAGCAACCAAAAGAAGATGACATGACTGTATTTGAATCAAGGTACACTGTTGTACGTGAAATAAAATAATAATATAAAAATACATCCCCTGAAAATAAATCCTAATGTGTTTTTGGAGCAAAAATTAATATCAGACACTGCTTTATTTTCAGGGAAACAGGGCAGAAGCTCCACACAAGCAGATGCCCTGAAACCAACGGATGCTTTTTCTGTCTTTGAAATGTGGAGCAAGAACTGAGGAGCCGTGGAGGAAAGTGGTGGTGGGGAAAATGGGGGACGAGCGAGCCCCCTCTTTCCCAGCCGGGGTTCTCTGCTCCAAACCATACTCTCATCATCATCCTGTGCATCGCCAACCTTACAGGTGAGGAACAAAAAGACAATTCATCGCTTCCCCTTTCCGGCTCCTGCCCTCCCAGAAGCCGAAAAGGGGAAGAGCAGGCCGCTGAACTTTCACCCCATACCTGAAAGCCTCCTTTCATTGCATCTCTCTTCGGCAGGGCCCTTCACACAATGGGTTGTGTGTCCCTTTCGAAACCTCCGCGGCAGCAATTGTCACTGGGCTGGTCCACTCACCTTGCACCCTGAAGCGGGCACCCAGTCCCCTCCATGCGGAGGTGAAGAAGGAAGCACCTCTTTGCTAACATCCCCTCCCTGGCCAGGCAACTTGAACAAGAAGGCTAAGCCCCCATAATGGGGCAACCCCGTCCCCCAAATCACCAACCAGGTTTTGTAAAATCACCAGTCCATAGAATCAGAGGCAGAAAAATCTCTCCTCCCCCCCCTCCCCGTTCCTCTAAATGCAGCACACAGGCGACAGACGCACATCCCTCCGAGATAAAACAAACATTTCCGTGCAAGAAGCATCGTTCTCGTAGAAGAAAATACGTGGAATGGAAACCCTCCTCGTCCTGCTTCAGGTAGAGGTGGCTGTTTAAAAGGAATCAACCCTGGATGCCAAACCCTAAGAACATCCACGGCGAGAGGAAGGGGGAGAGGGAAAACGGCAGTTCTGGAGGGGATGTATAATGATCAGGTACTAATGAGGACTATTTCTAGCCACAGTGAGGCAAGAGGAAAATGCTAATCTCTCTCTCTCTTTTTTTTTTACAGAATAGCTTGATCCTGCAAACAAACAACACTTTCTTGTCTCTTTCTATCTTTCTCATTAGGCTGTCATCATTTATGCCAGCTGTTCCTGGTGACCTCCAGATGTGCTGGGGAGCCCAAAGCCTCATCGGCAGGGCACCGGGTCTTTTTTGGGGGGGGGAAATTTCTCCATTCCCAGCAGGATCAGAAACACCAGGTAAGCACAACACAAGTGTTGCAGTTATACACATGTGGCTGAAAACAATCACATAGTCCACTGGTAAAAGGAAACACAGCAAATGGCATTTGAGAGAGTAGACATCAACGAGAGGGAAAGAAAGAAAGAAAGAAAGAAAGAAAGAAAGAAAGAAAGAAAGAAAGAAAGAAAGAAAGAAAGAAAGAAAGAAAGAAAGAAAGATCTTTAAAGGGCACGGCTTCATTAAAGCAAAACCAAAAGATCAAGGGGGAAAAAAGGAGGAGAAGTGAAGCATTTCAAAGCTACACAGAGCCTCCGGTTCAGAACACTCCTTCAAATTGCTTCTTGTAGGCACCCGATAAATTAAAAAAGCCTTACACTTTCGGAGAAGGTGTCCATGTCCAGATCCCATCCCCGGAGAGCCGGCCGGTCTGGTAGATGCTGTGCAGTGCTGAGGGCTACAAGGGACCGGCTCAGCCCTCAGCCTGCCTGCCCGCCTTGCCTGTGCCCGGGGCTCAACGTCCTGCCCACTTCCTCCAGCCTCCAGCCAGAATCTCTGCTGCCTGCGAGGCAGAGTTCCCACACGGACAGCAGCAGCAGCCGCTGCCTCAGCCTCTCACAATGCATGAGACGCATGGCGCCCGAGGAGAGGAGGCAGGAGAGGAGAAACCAGCCCCACGGAGCCAAACACACGGTGCCCACCTGGGCCCATGGGGGAAGGCGGAAAGGCCTCCGTGAGGGCTTCCCTGAACCCCACATCTCCTGCCCTTGAAACGGCTCCAAAGGGGTCACAGGTCTCACTGGCACAAGACACTTTTAAGATCTTTCTTCTCTCCCCAAACCAAGTCCTAGATTTTATTCTTGTTTTTCATTAAGTTTTTTTTAATGTTATGGATTAGGTGTGGGGATATGGGATAGAAAGGGGGTGCAAATCAACACGAACCATTTAAAATGCTCCTTCTTCTCTGTTACGTTTGAAAGATACGTAAGTTCCAGGTAAGGCTTAGTTGTGATATACATTCTATTTCTAAATTAATCCTAGGCTTTCTGTTATCCAGTCTTGATTTGCATTCTGTTTCTGAGCCAATCATAAAATTTATGCCAACCATCGTCTTTCTTGTCGGATCTAATTTATCCATTTCCGCCGTGTCCAAAATGTTTGCTATTAACTCATCTTGGGATGGATTCTCTGGGTCTTCCCAATGTTTCGCAAAGAGAATTCTTGCAGCTGTCAAGATATGGATGGCTAAATGTTTTTTTTTCCATGGGTTCTATTGATTTCGGAATTCTGTTTAAAAGGAGAGAATTCTTGTAGCTGTCAAGATATGGACGGCTAAATGTTTTTTCATGGGTTCTATTGATTTTGGAATTCTGTTTAAAAGAAAGAATTCAGGTGTTACAGTTACCGGAATCTCTAGAACCTCTTGCGAAAGCATTTCAAGCCTTATCCAATATTTTTTGGGCTTTCCCACATGTCCACTCCATATGGCAAAAAGAACCTTCTTTTTCTTTACATCTCTAACAAAACTTTTACATCCATTTTGGCTAGTTTTGTGGTAGTTATATACCATCTACAAAACATTTTTTATATTTTTTCTTTAAATGCTACTGACTTAGTAAGTTTTATATTGTTTTTCCATATTTGTTCCCACTGATCCAAGCTTATATTATGCCCAATATTCTGTGTCCACCTTATCATGCATTCCTTAACCACTTCCTCCTGGGTATCAAAATCTAATAAAAAATTATGTAGGACTTTAATATGCTTATCTCTGGTATCCAGGAGGATTTCCCAAAGGGAGTATTCTCTGCATAAAAAAACTTGTTATTTATCTTTGCCCTATCTTGAAATTAATTGAGAATGTGACCACTAATCCACATCAAATCCCTGTGCTGCTAATTCATCTTTGTTTTTCAATGTCCCGTCTGATTTTAGTACTTCTCTATATCTTAAGAGTTTCTTGTTTTATCTCAAGTTCAGAAGGGAAAATGTCTCCACCGATGTTATTTAACATGGTATTTTGACATACATCTGTCTTTAAATTTTAGTCCAGGACCATAATACGTAAAGATTTTTCTCAAGCACTGATTATTAAATCACTTAAAAATGTTCGCTCTGCTATACCAAAGAAAGTCATGCCAGGCCCATTTCAAATCATGACCTTCCCATTTTAACACTCTTTGTTTTTTCCAATAAAATCCAGTCTTTGATTCACATGAATGAGGCTGCCCTGTAGTAAAGCAGCCAGTTGGGGAGACTCATTGCCGTTTCATACTCTGAACTGCCTTTAGTTTTATCCTTGGTTTCTTTCCTTGCCAAACAAACTTAGAAATAAGCTGGTCAAATTCTTTAACTATTGATGGTTTCAACATCATTGTAATGTTTCAAAATAAAAAGATCAACTTTGGTTGGATATTCATTAAAACTCCATGTTATTTTTTACATTGAGAATGGCCCATTTCTGTCTACTGATCGATGGAACCTCCACATTCCGAGGCAGTGTATCTCTGACTGCCAGGCGCAAAAGCCAAATGGTAAGTGGGTCCCGGTGACCTTTATGCTCTGCCTGCTGGCTTTCTTAATTGTCAAATGCAACGCGAGGGACAGGCACCTCCGATTTAAAGCCGGCAAACCTCAATCCAGGCAGCCACTCATAAGACAGTGGCGCCACGTAGCCCCTGTCACACAGGTGTGCTACGATTCACACAACCACAACGCAGGAAACAAGGAGAATTCTGACGGTTGCTTGTTCTCCCTCAGACAGGCTGTCTCCACGGGCAGAGAAATCTCTGACCCTTCGGTTCATCGCTGCCTCTCAGAAACCTCTGTGCTAACCAAGTAATGCCCCCCACCGTGTCTCGTTTCCCTTCCCCACCCCGGCCCCCAGCCATGGTATACTGCAGGTATAAACCAGTAGCCTAAATACTTACAGGTGTTCCCGATTTTGGAATTTCTGGTTAAAAGGGCTGCTTTTGGTTACACAATAGAAGTACAAACAAACACAGAACAGAATGGCTCCCAGTTCCCCAGAGTCCACGGCTTTCTCATTAACTGGCACTTACGGTCTCAATAACTCACCTTGAGACATTGGTAAGAGAAAGAATAAAAATGTTTCACTACTTACAGTTGCAAAGAGGTCATCAGCATACTAACATGGCTAAAGAGAGAGAAAAGAGCGCTCAGCAGAGAGGCAGGGCTCTCTTTCAGAGGGCAGGGGGGAAAAACGGGTGAACGCTGGACAGATGGACTGTCGCTCCAGCCAAGAAAAGTCCCCTCCCGCTCACTCAAACTGCAGCAGGCAGCACGCGAGGCTGCAAACGGCAACAGCTAAGTGCAGGACTCAAGGGAAGCCCATCAGCCAGGGGATACCTTGGGTGTGTGTGTGTGGACTAGATGACCTTTGGGTTCCGCTACAGCTCAACTCTTCTCAGATTCTCCGACGATTTTACAATGCTGTGTATCTTTCCCCTCACAAAAACAGTGGTAGGCACTCACGACGAACGACCACCAAAGGCTCTGACTGGCGTGGCTGCGTTTCATTGGACCAAAGAGCTTTATCGACAGCTCCGTTTTCCATCTTTGCTGATCTTTGAAAACTTTACCTGTGTCAAAGCTTGAGATCTCAAATAGTTTTAACTGGGTTTGGGCAAAACGGGACATAACTTCTGGAGTGAGCACGGGAGGGGGGGCTTGCCTTACGTTCAGCTGTTTAATTGAGGTCCACTTTTAAAACAGAAGCAAAAATACTTCTTCATTCCTTTCCTTAAACATGCCCCTTGGGGGGAAAAACGTAAAATATATATATATGAAGATGCCTAATTCACAAACAAGTCAACAATATTACAGTGAAACCACCTAAGAATAGAGAAAAATGGAAGCCAGTTAAAAACATAATTGAATTAGAAACACAAATTAAAACAGAGTAGCAGAGCAAAAGAAAGCGGCCGGGAGAGACCTAGTTGGCCTCTAAATAAAAAGGTTCCCCCCCCCCCACCGGCAGCAGAATGCCATCAACGAGAAGGATTAGTTGAATTTAATCTCAGGGGTTTTGAAAATAGTTCTAGGGCTCTAATCTTTTAAACAGTTACGTCGGCACAATCAGCAAATGCTTGAACTGTAATTTTTAATGGACAAGCTGGTAATGTTTCCAAACAGATTACCTAAAAAGCAGATCCTTGTTTCAGCAAACAATGGGGCGCTCGGATTATCAAGGGATGCCTTGTGAGCAGCTACTGAAAGCAGGCAACCCTGTTGTTAGCAAATCACAGCACCATCCTGACTCAAAAGGGATCTGGCTGGAGGAGTCTCTGCTTTGGGCACAAACCCTCCTGGGGTGGAGGAATGCTATTTTTTGTCAGTTTATACCAGAGATCTGCCACCACCGCAGCTGTGCTGGCCGGGGGACTCAGCAGAGGAGAGGCTGATTCCCTATGTAGAAGCAGTGCTCTCTTAAGAGGAAAATGCCATCTCTTCCTTTTAACTCGAGCTCACCGCAGTCAATGTTTGACAAATTATCTTGCTTTTGCTTTGTGATGACGTCATCATTGTGTCATCTGAGGGCATCTCAGAGACTGCAGAGCTTTATTTGCTTATCTGAGAGCTCAGGCATGTAGAACTGAAAGATCTGCATGACTGGAGGGATAATGTGATAAAGGGAGGAAATATATTTTTGCTTTACTGCATGATTGGATCCTAAGGTGCGCCCGGGTGCAGATGGGCAAGTGAGTTACTTTATATCCAACACTGGAACATATTTATGCTTGAGAGTGTTTCATATTGTTTTTCTTTGTTTCGTTTATTTTGCTCAGTGCTATCAAACTGATTCAGACTTAACGCCCATCCTAATAGGGTTTTTGAGGTCTGGGAGAAGTTCAAAGAGTGGTTTGACCAGTGCTGCCGCCACGGCAGGGACTGCCCGTGGCCGAGCTTGAGTCCTCGCCTGGCCGTCTGTCCCTTCCACCACACGGACCGTCCTGGGCCAAGGTAGTCCCAATTCATTTCTGACACTCCCAGCCAAGGCAGGGCGGAACTGAGTGCAGATTTCGCTCGCCTCGTGTTGGCTCAAGCCGGTCCTGGGCCAACACGACCACTTAAGGACCAGTGTTTTTACACATAGGTCTTGGGGAGGCCATTCCCAAAGAGTTATCCCAGGTCCTTGGGATCACCTTGGAAAGAACCGAACCATAGCAGAAAGGTGGCCTCTGCCTCTTTCGATACAGGAACTGGTGCAGTGCCTGGATCAGTCTCTCTTTTGGACAACCACACCCATCATCCCCTAGCCCGCATAGCCAAGAGCCATGCCGGTGGGCAAACTAAGGAACCGCAGTCCAGAATCAGATCCAGAGGGGTCCCTTCCAGCTCTGCCATCCTAAGATTAAGACTTTTTCAGAGCTTCCTAGTCCCTTCCAGCTCTGCCGTCCTAAGATTAAGACTTTTTCAGAGCTCCCTCGTCGGAGCGCAGAATGTAGGGCACGTTTTGACCTTCTCCTTTAACTGGTGTCCCAGATTGCAGGCCCCA